CGTGTTTTTCTCCTCAACTAGTTTTAGAGACCTTTTACGGTGCATCAAATATATTTGGACCGTTCATTTTGTGTGATTGGAGGGTCCAGATGAGGCAATACTACCGTAGATTTTTGATAGTATATTGAGTAGTTAAGGGCATTTTAGGTAGTTAACTTTTTATCAATCAATTAGGCAGGTTCACGCACGCAGGTATCCTAGTGGCCAAAGTAATTTAGATTGAGTACGAGGCTCCTCGCGGCACGAATTGAACGTCGGCGCTGGCACCGTTGCTTGCCGCGTTCTTGCCCGTTGTCATCTAAGGTGAGCCGCAGTTGAAGTTGATGTCAATCATATCGCCGGATACCTCTGGCACCGGCTGGAGGCCGCACGCTTGCCCGCCTTCTACGTCCATCCTATCGATAAGGCACAATGCTTCCATGCAAAATTGTTCCTGCTCATTGCCGTTGCCAATGTCTAGCCGGCCAAGAAGGGCCTCCATCTCGCCAGCAAACTCTATGAGCTCGGTGGTCAGGCAGAAGCCGACGAGGCTGAACCACTGAACGGGTGCCTAGAGACGCTATTGTAGCAGGTTTCATCGGATTCATCATGGCACGACGCGACGGCCTTTGTCGGTTCCTTGAAAGGCGGCGACGGGTAGAGCTCCGCATGGGTGGGATCGAAGATGGGAACGCGGATACAGCAGGTTCTCCTCCAACGTCAACCTCCTCGTCTCACTTCTGCTCCTCCGACGAGTTCCTGCCGGACGGCTCGGGACAACGAGCCACCTCGACGGGAGTGTTGTGTTTCAACCACGCCGGCAAGACCTCGTCGCTGCGGTGGCTCTCCCGCAGAGCCACTCAGGCAACCCAAGGGAGCAGCGACGATGTGGGCGACAGACTCGCTAATGGTCCACGCAAGGGGGTTCACGGAGTGCACCGAGGCGTCGCTCCCTTGGCACAGGAACATGTAGTCCGTCGTGTAGTCCGCCGTGGCACACATGCGCCGTCTTGCTCGCCATCATACTGTCTGCCGCCTTCCCAAAGCTACCGATCAACTGAAAATCAAAGTGGCAAGCCGCACCACGCACCATACGAAACTAGATTTTATTTCGTGTCTCTTTATGCAGGCACTTGGCTACGGTGGCTCCGGTCGGAGGTCCACCGACGGCGTGGAAATTTTGCGGCGGCGTGGTGTCGGGAGTAGCGGACGAATGGGTAGGCGTGGATGGGATGAGAATAACTAATTAGTTAGATCAATCAGGATTTATTAAACTGAAGAAAAAATCTATCCTTTTGTAGAATTACCAATATATCCTAGAGTTTAAATTTTATCGATCCATATTAACCGTTAGATCAGCTAAATACTACTCACTTTGTTGGGTAGTATGATGTACCGTAAAAACTCTCTAGTTTTACCTCGTTTTATTTTTCTTAGTGAGGCACGAGCCCACGATGTTTGTGGGTGTCGTGCACCCTTCATAGTTCATGACATGACCCTATTTAGGCCATGGTTGTCTGCATCCTCAGCATCGTGGCTCTGGCATGATTTGAGCTCGTGGTGGGATGTTGTGAGTCATCCAGATCAAGACACCTTAGATATGATCCCTATCAGACACTTTTTTTCTCCTCCAAATAGAACGAGACAAACAAAAATAGAAGTCACTATTGCACGCGATGCAAAAACTTAGCCAAATATAGTGCATTCTCGGAGCTAGCCGGCAACGGAGGCGCTGGAATGATCTGAAGGGATGCTTCAGGCGCGTTCATCTTTTCCACATGTAGTTTGGAGATGTATGCTCTAGTGCACTCAAAGAGGAGACGACAGAGTGCGTGGAAGGCATCGCCCCGTTCATGCATCCTGAAAACAGATTGTGACGAGGTGGCTCGTATGCTTCTAGATCCGGCGCCAAATACAACACTAGTGGTCTCCCCTGTTGGGTGGAGCGCATCTCACGAAATGGAAAAGACTTTGGGATTCACCATGTGCGTCGTGAACAAAATGCCTTTGGGTTGCGCCTAAGAAACAACTCCCTTCTCGCAGCCATGTGGCTGTGTTTGGGAGTTTGAAAACGGCAAAATGAGTTTTGCCTAAGAAACAAATTTTCATCTTCACATTTTTAAACCGTGTTTACTTATGCTTAGCACAATAGTATAAATTAACAACTGGCATGGCGAAAGCTCAAGTGTTACACACATGGAGTATCTGTTCCAAACTCAAATGTTCCTTGATGAAAATTAGTAAAATAATCAATAAATTCTGAAATTTTTGGGGTAAAATTTGACAAAAAATGTCTTGCAAAAATTTACCAGGAAAGGAAATTCATGGAAGTCATGGTAAAAAACAAAATTGATGCCAAGAAAAATGCTATTTTGAAAAGCATTTTGGAGTGATGATTTTGTTTCTTACCTTGACTTTCACGTATGTCATTTCGTGATGAAATGTGCCAAGCATACAAAACATCTGTCAAAGTTTCTATTTTACTGTTCATCCCGAGGTCATTTGATCTCGGGAGCAGAAGAAGACTTTCGAAGAGTTACGCACTACAGTCAAAGATCCAGGCAGGTGAGGTGGACAACTTTCTTTAGCATTCGTTCATGTCCAGCGGGATTCGGAAGCAAGATGTGCCCTGAAAATTGACGCGAAAATAGTAGATACGCAAATGTGGCTAGTATTTTCTTCAGAAGCGAAATTAAGCCATGCCCTATTTTTTCCAAAAATCTGCGGAAACCACAAAGATTAAGTAATTGGGGTCTTGGATTTGAAAAGTCGCTAAAAACACACAAGCACAAAAGAAAAGAAAAAAAGGGCAAAACAATTTTTTTTGAGCATCAGTACAAACACAAGCGCTCATATACACGCGCATACACTCATCCCTATGAACGCACACGCACACACCCTACCCCTATGAGCACCTCCGAGAGACTGAGCCGCCATATCATCTTGAGATTTACGAAGTCACCGAGGCGCCTCGTCGTCGACGGGAACGTCTCCTCCCACTGAAAGCGCATCGCCGAAAATTCTGAAATAAATCCAGAATTAATGCGAGCACCAGGATTTGAATCCTGATGGGTTGGGGATACCATTGTCCACCTAACCAACTCAACCACAGGTTGATTCGCAAGGGCAAAACAAATTTAGGGGTAAGAA